TATAATTCGTCTTCAACATCAACGCAATGGTTAGCTCTCTTGCAAGCAAATTTTCAAAATGCTTTGGCCATCAATGGTCTTCACGAAGTTCCCACCTTTCAACGCACCGTCTCAAGTGAATTAGTGATGACTGTCATAGACTATATATACTTGGGTAAAATTTTGTACCAATGCGCATCAGAATCATCTATTACCAGATTAGGAGCGAAATGGTCAGACCATTCCATATTACACACATCCTTACTCTTGGGCCAATCCCAGTTTGGTCATGGACTATGGCGTGCCAATCCAGTGTATGCTTCCCACCCTAAGCTACAAAATACATTAGAGAGGAATATACAACATTTGGTTCAAGGATTTGATGAGAATATATCGCCCCAAGAAAAATGGGATGAAGTAAAACACAAAGCCAAGTCAATCATTAGAGGATATTTAGTGGATTACGTTGATTGACGTACTAAGAGAATTCGTGCTTTAGAAAAGAAACGCAATCGTTTACTACGCACAAAGCCTCCTCCAGACGTTCAGCGCTTGGTAATTCCACCTATTGACAATGAGCTACAGATACTACAACAAGAGCTGGCTGAAATAGGTATTCTAAAGGCTGGTCTTCGCTGGCAAGAGAATGGTGAGTGCAATGCTGGGTACTTGAAAAAAATACATCAGAGTCGAACAGTCCAACAATATATGTCTGGCTTCAAAGATAGCAATTCTGAAACACCAACAATTGTACATACCACCAAATCGACAATGCAGAATATAGTACAACGGTTTTATAAAGACCTATATGCGATTGATGCAATACCTATGAATCAAATACAAGAGTATTTAGGTAATATTCACTTTCCAAGTAAATTAATCAGGATGAAGCAAATCTGCTCCAAATGGAATTTGATTGGGAGGATATTGTCAGAATGACAAAGCGTAGTCCAAAACAAAGTAGCCCAGGTAGTGATGGACTAGGGTATATATACCTTCAACTCTTGTTTGGTTTTCCTTGTTTGAAGCCCCTGATACTCCAGGTATACAATGATGCCATGACAAAAGGAATTTTCCTCAGCATGGAAGGAAATCAGAGTGCGCTTGCTACCCAAGAAAGGTGATTTGTCAGAATTAAAAAATTGGAGACCAATTTCATTGATCAACTGTGATGGTAAAATTTTCACAAGGCTCATTACCCAACGTCTAGCTCCTATAATGAATCGAATTATCAACCCGCTTCAAAAGGGCTTCATCCAAGGACGTTTTATTGGCGAAAATGGGATGTACGTTCACTTGGTTCTACAACAAGCAAGATATGAACATCATCAAGGTGTAGGTTTGCTTCTCGACCAGGAGAAAGCCTATGATCGAGTATTACCAACATATCTTCAACAAGCTCTTGTGTTCCTAGGCTTCCCTACCTTATTTATGCAGAGTATTATAATTTGTTCTTTGATAACTCAGTAGCAATCAATGTCAACGGATCCTTTACGGTCCAGTACATCAGCAACGTGGGTTAAGGCAGGCGATCCTTTGTCCCCTTTATTGTTCAACATCGCTTTGGAGCCGCTGATTCTTTCAATCCAGCAAGACCCTACATATCAAGGTTATGTCCGACAATGAGCACTACGTCTCAACAGATCAAGTGCATCGCATATGCTGATGATATCTGTGTGTTTGTCAAGATACCACTGATTTTATGCGTCTCCAACATCACTTGACTAAGTATAGTGCTGTATCAAATGCAAGATTTAACAAGCACAAGACGGAAGCTTTCTCACTGAGTGGAGTCAAGTCAGAATCTTGGGAATCTTTGCTTTTGAGTCACGATATCGAAACATACTACCACCATCATTCCCCTTCTGCTTTTCGATACCTTGGCTTTTATATGCCATACACAAATTCTCAACGAATCGTGTCCAGGATATGCTATTGGAAAAATGCGTACACGGGTTCATGGTTACTCTCAGCGTCATCTCTCGCTTCAAGGAAGAGCTACCGTTGCCAACACTTTGATTTTATCCAAAATTTGGTACGCTTGCGGTTGTTTGCGCCTACTAAGCGATTTCTGAATGAACTTCGTTCATTATCTATGCTTACGTGTGGCAAAAGAAGTTTCCTTATGTTTCTTTTGACCAGTTATGTCTCCCAAGAATCAAGGTGGTGTAGGAGCTCTCACCCTATCACACAATACTTGGTGCTGCAGATGAGATGGGTCTTTACTCTGTTTAGTTCGTCTAATCTAACACTCAGCTCCGAGTGCTTATGACAGAACACTTTGGCATCATGTCTCCGGATGCTGACAATACATTGCTACCCTTTTTCTCTAGAACTCTTCGCCGTCATGACCTTGTCATCCCACTTCAGTTGTCAATGGTATTTATGCTGCGTTTGATCACTTTGGTATCACTTCAAACTTGATAATGTGCTCTAGCCAACTTGCTTTACTTTCCGCTAATTAACATGTTTCAAGAGGTACCTCAGAACCACTGGCTTCATCGACATTCAAAAGTACCAGCATCTCTCTTCTTCCTCTTTGACGAACAGAGTAACCGGTTACGCCTGAAGGTTCGCCATGAATATGGGACATTACCAGGATTGTGCCATCAGCTCTTTATAGACGTTCTTCGCAGACGAACAGTAAAACTTCAATCTTTCCTGTGGCAATATATTACACAAGATATGACACCATCTACTGTATCTGTCTATGATGCTTTGACCAAGCAATTAACTGACACAAGATTGTGGCGCTCTTTCACTTCTAGGGATTTCTGCCTGCATCCTTATGAAGACAAAGCTAAATCCCGAATAAAGGCTTCTCGTACTTCGCTCTCTCTGTATTGGAGGACTCCAATGCTCCTCAGGCTAGAACACTGTGGTATCGTGTGCTTCACAAGAAACTGTCCACTGCGTCCGAACTTTTAAGATTGGTACTGTCTCTACTCCTGTCTGCGGCTGTGCAAATCACAACCGGAATCGTATGATCATTTCATAGCCCACTGCTCTACCAAGTGGAGTGTTTGGTTGGAAATACTGAACTGCTACTACCCTCTGGTATACTTTATTCCTTCCTCCCTCCACAAGATCCTCACTCTTCAAGCCTTCCCCTGCCATTACAAACCGCTCCAAGCTTGTATCCATAGTTGCGATAGCTCAATAGAATATCTGGAAATCCTATTGGAACCTGATTCTTAACCAGGTTGCTTTTGAACATTCTTGTATCATTTCAGATACAATTTACCAGGTAGCCTTAGCTACAAAAAATCACTCCTTGCTAAAATAGCCCTGATTATTGTATGATCTTTACTTCGTCTTTCTTTACTCCTGTTTTTCGACGTCCCACCTCTCTGCGATGTGTGACTAATCAATAATATTGTAAATAAAATCCAACTACAAAAAAATATAAGTATGAGTATTTCGTTAATTTTTTTTTTTTTTTTTTTGCTTTTTGCTAATAGCTTTTGTGTTTTCACGATTGAGAGGAGATATTCCCATCAGAATCAATGACGGTTTTCATCATAACGACTACAACATCCCTTTCTTTTGTGTTTTCTATATTTAATGAGTCAATACTAACTGAAATTTAATTATCTCGTTTATTTTCGATTCGATACTTTCATCTATAGGCACTGGAGCATTTGACATATTGATTGATTTTAAGGCATGAGTTCTCATTGGTATAATTTATTGATATATTTGTATTTTTATCTTTGATGTTCTATCATATTTTATGATTTTAGATACAAAGTGGTTATGTAACTTAGAATTTGATAAAATATTTCTAAAATCACTATCTATCAAACCTAAGGAATCAGCAGCAATTGTTAGCATCTTCTCAGTATTTTTATTACTGATGCTATCTTTTATATCCAGAATAGTGATCTTCTTCTAATATACTTGGATTCTTACTACAAATAGAATCTGTATCCGAATTTACATATTCATCTACTTCCTGTTTATTTTGTTTTGAATCATCTAAGTTATTTGCATTTTTCTCTTGAGTTTATGTTAATTTTATGTTAGTTTTATTTAACTTCTTTATGTTGATTTTTTGGCAATAATTACATTTGTACGAACAAAACTACCTGTGTTGCTTCTGATAAACACATGTCACTTGCTGCAGGCGTGATTTTTTTGTTCATCTTGTTCTTCTCATCGAGTGTCCTTCAAGTCCTTAGAAGCAAAATGATTAAAGTTGCTTTGGAAAAGAATCAAGAAAACTCACTTAGTATTAGATACCCATTTCTTTTGCCTTTCCCGCAAAGAAAGCACTCTATCTACTCTAATGTTCTCTCTAAAAAGCAGCCACTTTCGCGCGAATGATGCTCATTTCTGAAATAGAAAAAGTAATTGTAATCGCTTTATTGAGAAAAAGAAAAGAAATGATTTATCAAAATTATGTTCAATTGATCAGTTTATAGCAACAAATAGGTTTTTTATTGTTATTTATCATACAAAAAACCAGTAATTCGTCATATGCATACAAAGATAAAAAAAAGAAGGATATTGCAAAAAAAAATTGAAAAGAATTGGCATACTTCAAACTTGTAGCCATTGTATTTTCAAAATCTACACATGCATGCTCCTTTTTGGAGTGGACGGTATTCCCTTTTTATAAACTCTCTCTTGATGCTTTGCCTTTCTTCGTCAGAAATATGAGCATGCAGAACAAACTTTATCAAAAGGATTTCACTTTACTCACACAGTGAAGATAAATTCAGTAGATGTTACATTACTTTTGCTGAAGCTAATAAGCAAAATAACGATTACGCATCGAATAAAACTGGCTTTGAAAGAGGGCTAACAAAACAGATATACAAAACCTGTCTCATCAAGGTCATTACTTTTTACTAATTTTTAAACTATGACAAACAAACTGTAAGCTTTTTTTTTGTTTTATATATAGACTTTATTTTTTAAAAAAAAAAAAAAAAAAAAAAAAAAAAAAAAAGAAAAAGAAAAAGAAAAAACCTATAAAAAAAAGGAAACAAAAAAAAGTGCACTCTTTGCTTCTCATCGCGATACACAAACACTGTTGATTTAAAACCAACGTATGTAAGTGTCTTTGATGATACAACAAGTTGAGAACACCAAAAAAACTGTTAGTAATATAGCCCTGGTACCCTAAGGAACCCGGGCGTATGAAATGGTAAAGCAAGCTCTTGGTAACAGGGACCACCACATCAAGGCAATATGGAACTCATCAAGTCTTACTTATCTAGGGAATAGGAGAAACAAGTCTTAAACACTTACTGGGCGAGGCCAGTCGAAGCGCCAGAAAAGGATAATAAAAACAAAAAGAGGATGAATAGATACCCAAGGGTATGAGAACTAGCTACAACAACAAGAACACCAAGAGCAACACCAGAAACACCGTTGTAGATAGTACTTAGAAAGAAGCACACCAAAACACCAGAGACAAATTTTACATAGCGCCATATTACAATTTTTAGATTCAGACGAGTGACGAAACATGTACGATATTATCTCCGAATGAAATTTCTGGCAGGTTTGGCTTGCTTTTGACTTGCTTTTGACTTAGAGTCTTTGCTTAGAATTGCATCTTTATGCAGTTATTTGGTTCTAATACAATAACAAAAGTTGTAGATTTATGTCTTCTGAGTCTACTGATTTAGATAACATAACCACTTTGCTGCTAAAATATTGAGCAAATAGACAAAAGTGTTTATGAGGTTTTTCGCACATATCTCATCTTTTTCATAGTATAATAGGCAAACAAATACATTCATCAAAAAACTAGAGCCTTTAGCGCACATTCTGTGTATCTAGTAGCGTTGGTATCTTTATTTTTCGTCTCGTAGCGTCAAAATAAGATCAAGAGTTTTCAAAATGATGATTTTCATGAATAGTACCCTTTGGTCAGAAGGCATATTTTGGCCATTTTTCGCAAGTCGCTTTTTTTTTTTTGCTCAAATCAACACCAAAAATATCCTATATATTAGTAAACATGGCTTATAGGCATTTAGAGTACTTGTGCATATATAAAAAGGTTTTATGACATCTTCATATGCTTGAGAAAAAGATGCATGAATTGTTAAAGTAATACAAAATAGAATTATTATGCTGAAATGCCTATTCAGTATCTTAAACCACCCGAAGGACCAGCATGTAAGACAGCTTTCTTATCAACATATTCTTTTTTTAGGTATCATGCGTCGTACAATGTCTCCACCGTCAATAAAGAATTGCACACGTTCAAACCAGACATACTAGAAATTGTTATGGATTATCAAGATAGCTTACTCAAAGAAAGTTGAATCATTTTGATATAGTAAGGACTACTCCTTTTCTTTATGTAAATGTTCGATTGACGACATAATCATTGTACTACATTTTTGTGTACATTTGCTTATTTTTTTCAACTTGCATCATGTGTGAATTGTGTATTTATTTTAGTTTTTGAAAGAATATCTCTATTGTTTAGTGTGTGATGCAGTGGATGTAATCAAACCGGATTTCCGTGGTGGCGGAGGAGGGCCTTCTTTTAAACTTAAAAAGACAGCGATTGTCATAATCAAAGTAAATCTAAACCACCGCCACGTGAAGTAAAGCATTTGTTTCACCATGCGCTGGACAGAGCCTACCAAGCCCAAGGATTGTTCCGGTGGTGGTGTTGGTGTAGTAGTGTTACAATAGCCGCTTTTTGTTGAGTTGACACCATGCTAAAATTATCGTCATACCAATGCCCATTCTCTTTAGGAATTTTTTATGATCATATTCATGTTCCAGACGACCGATTAAGCTCAGTGCATCATCAAGAGCATCTTTCTCAACGACGCCTGCTTGAACAAGAATTGATTCAAGCAAGTTTGTATTATCTTCATGCCCTTTTAACCAAGCATGATTAGTTCACTAAGCAGATTTTGATTGCTTTCTTCTTCTTCGTATTCTTCTTCTTCGTAATAAATAACGCCTTGTTCTTTAAGCTGACCCAGTAATGTTCTATGCTCTTCTAACTTGCTTTGAGCTCTTGAATATGCGTATGCTGAGCTTCAAACGACTTTTGAAGCTGTTCATGATCATGCAAAGTGAACTGGAATTGGTCCACTTGCTGTTTCAAGAACGTAAATCATGCAAGGTTTTCATCAGCTTCTCTTCCATGGATAATTTGGATTGATACACCTGATCATTCTCCAGCCTCAAATGCTTGATTTTCTCATGCAGCAGCGAAACATCTTCTTCCTCATGGTGTGGTGGTGATAGTTATTACTATCTTTGGGCATTGTTTTTCTTCCATTTCTTGTATTTTGACTGTAGCATGATCAAGACTACCTTTCAAGAACTTGATTTCAGTCTCCAATTCTCTTTCTTTCTTTTTATGCATACGGCCCTGTTTCTCCTGGGTTTGGACTGTCTGCTCTAGTTGAGTGGATAGTTCCGTATTCTTTTTTTCCAGCATTTCAATCATGGCTTCTCGCGTTGTATGTGAAGGCATAAAAGTGACGTCTTCTTGAGGTTGTTCATCTAAAGAGAATAAGAGTTGGAAGGTGTAGGGTAAATAGACTGAGATAATAAATCTTCATAGTTAGATTTGAGTGCGATATTATTCTCCAATAGGGATTTTCCTATTTCAGCTGCCAATCTCAAATCCCTCTCTTTGTCTTTGAGTGTGGTATAGGCATTCTTTAGCATAGCACCAACTCACTTGGTGATTTTCTTAACCAAGAAGATATAGACGAAGTAGCTGATAAACTAGGTGAAGGAGGAGGTTGTAATAAATCTTTAGAAATAGTGTAGATATCATATAGGGGATTTTTTTTAAAGAGAAGAAAGAAAGAAAAGAATGGCCATATAAAATATCAAGGTTTTTTTTTTTTTTTATTGTTATTGGAATTTCATGTTTCATCAGAATGAAGTCTAATTCAGATAACAATCCATCACTTGGCCTGGAATAATCCCTTCCTTTCACCACAAACAAAAGCCAACATTCTGTTGGTCCACAAACAAATATTGCGCTTTCCTTGATCAAGCATCATTTCTTGTATCATTTGCTTTGTCACATAACCCTTTTCATAACTGCTATTGGCAGGCGGATGTTCTAGCACATATTCAGTCTAAATCTATCTTGTATTTCTGTTGAAGTGCGTCTAATTCTGATTTAACAAGATGTCTTGTTCTGTCTTATTGCATAAATCAACCAAATACGAGTCTGTTCATCATCTGGATCTCTAGAATTCGGCAAATTAATTGATACATGGGTGAATACCTGTACCACCTGCAATCTATCAAACTCATTTTAGTGTATCATATAATGCCATTTCTCTTTTACCATCCCAACTTCCTTATAACTATTAGGTTCATAATGCATTCCGCTCTACCATAGGCCCTCTGTGTATATTGATGTTGTAAGGCAAAAACTGGTATCGTACGAGAGACTGAACCATCTTGGTATTTTTTGACAACCAGGTCCATATAGCCATCACGATATGGTCTGATAATAGGTGTGTAAGGTCTCATGACTTGAATGCATCGTCTTTAATATAAACACACGAAGGAACAGGGTATGTTTTGTCTTGTGGTTTATAGACAGTCTCAAAAGGTAAGAATCGGGTGATATCTGTTCTTTTTGATAAATCAAGTGCACATAGCGATCTTGGTCAGTTTGCTTTGTTTTCTATCTCATTGTATTTCTGCCAACCAAAATAGGAGCCTGCTAAACATGTTGTGCCTAGTAAAAAGGTCTTTAAGATTGTGTTTTTCTTAGTATGTGTGGCAGTAGATAGACTTCTTGAACAAGTAGTCAAGACTGGGCTACAAGAAAGTACTTTAAACATAGAGAAAAGGAAGAAAAAAACTTTTTTTTTTTTTTTTTATCGAGCAGGGTTATCCTTTTTCGGACATTAGATTCGAATTTGACATTGCATAGAGAGAGTGGAAAGTATTCACAATGAGTTTTATTTTTCTTAAAAATAAGCATGATGGCCTTGAATCAATCCATGGCATTTTGTTCTTGACTAACAATACCAATTTTGTCAACTAAGTCAATTGGATGATGAAAAATGATGTGGGTGGCGTAAAATAAAGAAATTCATGCAATCTATACAAGAAGGTCTTTCCTTTTTTGTACATCTTGTTCAAACGAAAAGAAAGCAGGGCTTCTTATTGTTTATTTTGATGCTATTGTTTTTGGAAAAAAGAAGCAGTAATTTCTATATATAGGTTTTTGTATGATAAACAACTAAAATGGTCTCTTTTTTTCTCTCCTTTTTCTTTTCGTTTCTTGTTTCTTTCAACTATGAAAAAGTTGTTTAAAAAGAAAAAGTCTGAAAAGAACTTGTCTAGTTCTATTTTACTTGATGAACAGATAAAGAAGCAATCTATGTTTGCTCCGCCTTCTACTTCTTCTATGATTAATATGCCGCAGTCTACAAGTGAATTGCCTGTTCTTGTTATGCCAAAACCTAGAAGACCTTATACGCCTACGCGTGCTATTCTCGGTAGATTCGATCATGACAAGACGCAAGTAGAAGAGGAATCATTGCATGAAGAAATCTCACCTATTCTGTTGCCAACAGCTCGTGAAGGTAAAAAGACGCACATAAAATTCATCTTGCTTAAAACAATAGTAACAGAACCCCCAATCGAAACAAGCCAGGGACATACAGCACAACAGTCAGTCATGAATTATTCTTCAACGAGAGAGTATGATTCTGCTGTTGAGTCCTTGTCTGATCCTACAATGGATACACATAGTCAAATTGAATTGCCCATGATAAAAAAGCAAATATCACGCCGACCTCTTGTGTCACCTCCACCTGCTTCAATACAAGATAGTGATGATACAATGAATCAATTCAGTTTGATACCAATCATGAGAGCACAATACCCATTGCGAATCCTTCTTTAGCCTCCTCAGCCACTGCCACACCTCGGCAACAATCCCATTACTATCAAAAGCAAAAAGAATATCAAAAGCAACAACAGCAATACCATATGCAAGAGCAACAAAAGCTTCTTAAGCAGCAGAGAATTGAAGAACAACAAAATTTTATGAACAGCAAGTGTTGCAAGAGCAACAGAAGCTACAGAAACTGCAAGAGCAGCAGAGACTACAAGAGCAACAGAAACTACAAGAACAACAGAAACTGGAAGAACAGCAAAAAATGGAAGAGCAGCAACGACTTCAAGAACAACAAATGCGCGAAAAAGAAGAATACACCCGCCTATTCCTTGAACTTAAGCACCAAGTCGAACTCATGGAACAACAACGCATCATTGAACGAGAAGAATGGGCAAGAAAAGAACAACTTCATCTGGACCAACAAAACCAAATGTTAGAAAAACTCATGATGACAGAAGAACAACTCAATAACTATCTCATGAAGCAACGTTATCAAAAACAACTACAGCACAAACAATGGCAACAGCAAATGAGCGAATTGAACTTGAATGAGCCTCACGCATTAAACAAGAGTCGATCGGAAGAATTTGACAAGTCTCGTAGTGTTGAAGGTGATTTTCTACCTAGACATTCACGTCGAAACAGCGTTGTTAGCAATAAAAGTCGATTAGATACAACAGCCAGTCCTTCCACTACATTGGTACCTACACCCAGTCACCGATCTTCTGTGGCATCACTCAGAAAGACAAGGCCGCGAGCAAGATCAACTGAATCAGCTAAATGGCAGCATCCTCGTCGAGAATTTGAGCAACCGCAATATTATCTCCCTGATCGTGCTTATTATCCACTCTCTCTGCCTCCGCCTAAACCAAGAAAAAGTCGATCGACGGGTAAAGAACCCTTACACTATAGAAGATCCCAAGGTTATCCTCAACCTTACTTTCTAGATCAAGATGACGATGATGGAGAAGAAGAGTATTGTTATTATGAGCCTGCTTATTATCCACAAAACTACATGTATAGTCCAGATTATTGTTCACCTATGATGCCTGTCAATAGGCATTATGGACCTTCAAGGTATCGATATCACTGAGAATAAAAATAAAATAAAATTGGACGGTTCTTTCAATGCATACCCTAGTTCTTTTTTTCTTTCTTTTTTTAATCATGTCCAGAGCAGCCAAGCAACTTTATTAGGTTCTATCTTATTCTGTGTTGGTTCAGTGTTGGTGTTCATTATTTGCAAAATAAGAGAAAGCAGTAACTATAAGACTTTTTCTTTTAAAAAAAGACAAGCTGATCTCAGTTTGTAGAATCTAAGAGCAGGTGTCTTACGTGATGAAGAGCGAAGAAAAAGAAAGAGAACAAGGTTAAACATGAAAGAACTACAAGAACAGCAAGAATTACATGAAGCCTTATTAAACACAACACATTAGTCCAACCAACATGAACAAGAATATAAAAGAGCTTCATTTTTTTTTCAAAGAAATAGATGCTTTTATTTAAGCACTTTCACCCTTTTGGAAGACATAAGTCAAGTGACACTTGCCACAGTATTGACGATCCTTGTGCTTGGCCATGAACACACCAGCACCACAGGTGGCATTGGGACATTCACGACGGAGACGAGTGACCTTACCAGATTCATCTACCTTGTAGTACTTGAGAATAGCCAACTTGACCTTAGTACGCTTGTGCTTGATCTTCTTGGGGTAGTGTAAGTCTTCTTCTTTCTCTTCTTACCACCACCGAGAAGTTCAGCGTTGAGGTTCAAGGTGTTGTTGTTGGCAATGCCGTAAAGGGCAAGTTCACCATCAACAAGAGGCTTACCGGCAAAGGACAAGAGTTGAGCGTCAACAGGGAGACCTTCACGTTCTTGGATCATGGCCTTGACAGCAGCAACAGAAGAGTTGGTGGAAACATCAAGGGCAAGAGTGTTTCCTTGGAGAGACTTGACAAAGACTTGCATATTAGATTCAGATAACTCGATTATTTTCCAAACAATTATAAAGTGACAAGAAAAAATCTAACAGATCGTGAATACCAGATCTTTCTTTCGCTTTATCTGCCACTTACCTTCCTCACTATCTGTTGAAATAGAAAAAAAAATGGGAGAAAGAACAAAAAGGGTTGTTAAGAAAAGAATAAATAGTCAGAAAAAAATTTTTTCCAAGCATTTTATTGGCTAGACATATTTACGTCACAATTGCCATTTGTTCTTTCTGCCTCTTTCTCTTTTCTTTTTTTTTTTTTGTGTTCCATTTTATGCTTTCAGGTAAGCCGTTTCTTTGCCTATTGAATCAAACACACGAGTCAATCAGACCATGAATTTAAAAGAGAACTGTCATACAAACTATGAATAACTCATAATAATAGAGTTTTCTAGTAACTTGATGCATAAAAAGACGACATGCCAAAAAGAAAGCGATCAAGAAGCCAAAGTGGTGGCCTAGATAGAAAAGACGACCTAAACTATGTTGACGAAGACAGTGAATTATCTTCTGGCGATGATGCTTTAAACACAAGTGATCTTGAAAGTCATCATCCAAGCCCTGATCACCATGTAAGGAAAAGAGGTCGACCCAAGTCGCATCACTATGGTTCAAGGGAAGACAGACATGCGAGGTCACAACAATCATCTGCATCATCGAATCTTTCGAATCACAGTTATCATCCTCCAACTACACCCAGTGGCTATATAAGTGATATTGATGAATCAGGAGAAACCAAGGTCGATAAATACGGTCGGTTGCTTGGAGGTAATTATGGTCTGTAGTGAATGATGTATTAACCTGTTTAGGGCGTGAATACCGTGTTCCTACATTTACCTTGCCTACAAGAGACAATACGTTATTCATGTTTTCAAAAGATCCAGCTGCTTTGTTAGGATTTCGAGATAGTTTTGTGTTCCTAAAGAAGAATGTCAAGCTCATCAAGGTGCATATTGATAATGCTGAAAAAGGCTATTTGGTTGATTCCAATCTGCTTCGATCTACATTTCGTACGCGTGAAATATCTGTTGTGACAGCTCGTTCTGTGTTTAAACAATTTGGACATCGTATCATTCGAAAGGGACGTAAGGAAGAGATGATTATTATTACACAGATGAAGTAGATGAAGGAGAAGATGAGCCCTCTGATGAAGAACCGCCTAAAGACATGCTTGATAAGCCAGTACCTGCTTCTTCTTTCTTGCCTGCTAATCTGGAAGTAGGCCGAAACAATTTGATTCATCAATTGACAGCACAAGATACAACAACCACTGAATTGAATTGGTTGCATCATGCAGCAGTCTCAACAAGACAGTTCAATACCTCTTATTTTCTTATCGTCGTGCTAATCCAACCAATTATGATTTACTGACAAATGTCTATCAAATACCTGAAAATAGACAAACACTTAGAAATACAGAAGAAAAGACGAATACCCTCAACAGTGACATCCCTATGGATTTCAATCTTGCTATGATGAATCATCCCAAAATGGAGTTGAATTTCAATCATATTTAAATTAAAGACTTTATAAACCTAATGTCTTTCTAGCATTCTCTCTTACTATTTCATTATAACGTTCACGGTCTGTTCTCCATATTTTCTACATTTGAATGAGACAAATAATGTGCTATACATGACTTACACAGGCATCAATATTAGCACCACTTTCATCATTGGGTTCTATCGTGAGAGAAGAAATGAGTTATTTGAAGTTTTTAAGAAAAAACTTACTGCCAACATACTGACCACACTCAACAAAATCTTCTCTACACTCTGAACAGGACTCCAACGTTCAGAACTACTTTCATACATGTTGGGATCATCACCAGGTGGATGTAAAATAGAAATACAAACAGTCCCATTTTGATAACATTAGGGTGAAAGAAATCACATGTGAATCGCATTGTAGGTGGGCTTAAAGGATAATCTTTAGGGAACGTAAGTGTAGCAGGAAACAGTCCACCTTCAAAAGGTGTACCTTCAGGGCCACTATCAAAAATAAGAAATAAGAAACAAGCCTAACTTCATAGAGAGATAACATACGCAATAAGAGCTCCCATTCAAAAAAGTTGTTTTCATCAACAGGACCTTTAACAATCAGCATCTACTTGTTCTTGCTTTAAACAAACCTGCTGTGATTCCTTCAGGTGCATTCAGTGTCAACTCTATAATCTAGTCATAAACCAAACAATAACAGCAACAACAAACTACCTTTATATCTGTCATCAGACGCTTCAAGGCTGTAGAGCCTGCTGTTCTATTAGCATACATTTTATTCGAAAGAAATAGAAAGAAAAGAAAAGAAAAGAGAGATGATTGGCTTAAACCAAATAAAAACTTTTGTATCACTTGTTTTTCTTGTCGAATTCTTCATCATCAGAATAGGCCTCAATAAAACCTTGATCTTCCAAGTGATGATGCAACATATGCATTCTATCTTCCATAGTAATTTCTCTTACAAGATAGCCTTCTGAATCACGGCGTACGAGTTTTGTTGTTGTTTCTTCCGTTTGGCTATAGGGATCGAGTTCTTTAGGATCACGGGAGGCCAACCATAGACTACTCTAGGATCTATAGAGAGTAAGATACACATAGAATATTGTTTCTTATACCTGTATTTGGTTTCACAGCGTATTGTAGACCATTGCCTGGTGTACCTTGTGGCCACATCCAAAAGATGGGATTGCTACCCAAGACAGAACAGATTTTGATAGTAGCCTATGTCAAAAGGAAATTCAACCTAATCCTTTGTTTGATATCATCACAAAACATAGTACTTACAGCATCTATCTTTTGGCGGCGTATTAATTGTGTTGTCTTGGTTCTTTCAGATCCTTCAATCGTTGTTTGTCCTTTCAATAGGCAATAGACATGATAAAACAGCCAAGACACCCACAAGTAAAAGAACAAAAAAGATCAAGATGATATTGAACACAACTATCACTAGTTCAAGCATAGAAGGGTGGATTATCTTAAATACTGAGTACTGTGTTGCATAGATATTTTACTTACCAAGGATTTTGTCTTGCTTCAAATATACGCTGTAATCGCCAGAGTAGCAAGAAACAGCCATAGGAACAACAGATCATGACAGAAAACACGAACCGAACAAAGTAACTATAGTTGGCAAAACCTACACAGTTGCCAATCCAAGGGCAGTGATGATCATACGTAAGACACATTGACCACAATGACGACAATGATGGGCTCGAGGAGGTTTGAGTGCTCACATGTCTTGCAATAACGAAGACCTGTGATGCCACTCTTTAATAAATCATCGTCTATCGATTCAATGATGGCATGAGGAGGTTCTAAGTATTGTACTTGATTGGTATCACAGATAAAGAAAGAGATTTGGCTTACCCATCCTTCAGGTGTATAGCCTGGTTTTATTGTACAAGCAAAGTAATAGTTTACATAGAGTGAAATGAGGAACAGATTCATAGGGCTAATATCTTTTGCGTATGTAGGCTTGTCCAGCCTCCAAAAGCAGGGCCCAAAATATAAAAATTCGTAGTCAATTGCAAATACGTAATGAGCACAACCACGCATCCTACAATGATCCTTTCTGGTATGAGTTCTATAAACATCATAAAAGAGTAAAAAAGCGAATTATTTTTTATTTGTGATTATTTTCATTTTCTTTTTTTTATATATTAAAAATAAGAGAGAGAGGCAACAGAGTAGTCTGAATTGAGTTACTAGTGATTAAACCAGTCTCATGTATTGCACTTCATAGCATTACCACCCGCAGCCATTACAGTAAACATACCTGAGCCAACCCATCAAGAGAAATTTCTCTCTTTCAAAGGTACTAATGGCCCAAGTCGTTATAATTTCTGGTAGCACTGCCCCCATTATTAACAGGTTGTCAGCAAACATTTAGCGGTTTTCCTCAGACCTTCCCACGGGATGGATAAAAGAACAAGTCTTTTTGTACGTTTGCCCGTATACATAAGCTTGCCGCCTCTCTTTGTAAAGAAAAAAAGAAAAAAAAAAAAAAGACTAAAAAGCATGTTTTTTATACTTACTTTTACCCTACTACCACTGAAAAAAAAAAATTTTTTTTTTTGTTTGTTTCTTTAAAAAAAGAGTCACTTCATGACTCATGTTTTTCTCAGTATAAATTGAATGTAAAAACCTGCAAGTTTAGTTTCTTCTTTATTCGATCTAAAAACACAAACTTTGAGGGCAATGTGCTTTATAATTTTATTACAGCATGCGTGCCTTAAAGTATAAGAGTAATTTTTGGACGGTTGTATCTATTCGATGAGTGGTTCGATACCATTGAACTCGAAAACTTGTCTATATTTTTTTAATGTATAAAGAAAATGAAAAAAAAAAAAAAAAAAAAAGAGAGGCTTGCCTTTCTTTTCTAAAATG